TCTTTATTTCATACCTCATTATGAGTGTATGGCAATAACGCACCAGTTCAAATGGCTGATGTACTGCTGTTGTTCCTGTTTGATGTTGAGCTATGCTGCTAGGGCTACGGTAATCGAACATAATTAGCCTCTTTATGTCGACTGATCTAACGGGGGATAGGTTTCGCAACCGTACAGGAGGGTTAGACAGACGGCTGTATTGTAAAATTTGGCCTTCAGATCGAAAGTGATGTCACGACGGCGCCACAGGTGGCGGATAATGGCAAAATCACCCCGATCTTTCCCTATACGGTTCGTGATCTCATCTTCAATGCCACAGGCGCTAATGTAGCTGCCCAGATACTAAAATTACTGGACAACTTCTGACTGATCACCACCAAGTGTCAACGCAGGAGTGGGCCCCTGACAATCTCGGAGAAGAACTCTGTATTTTGATGGTGCAAAGCATAGCCCGAAACCACTGACAACCATCGCTAATTTATCTAATGCGAATTGGCACGTTCGGGAGCTGTCATAGATGAGCGCAATGTCGTCGGCACACTCCAAGTGGAGAAGTCGTTCATCAGGGAGCAACTCCACACTTTCTAACTTACGCTCGGCGAACGCCGTTTCCATGAACACTGGTGGCTAAGTTAAAGAGGAAAAGTGACAGCGGGCTACCTTGTTTCACACCGTAAACCCTCACAATGCTCGAACTATGCACGTACAGCGCTCTGATAATGTTTTCGTATTTATCGGATACACCTTTCCCGTGTAAACAGTCCCAAAGGGAAGAAATTCTTGGGAAATCAGGTTTTATTCGTCTATGAGTAGAGATGAGAACTAAAGGTGCGACGGATAGGAGAGTGCAGTGGCAATGACAAATATGCGAAGAGGAATAAGATCCAACTCCTCGCGAATCTGGCTTTCACGGGTGCCAGTCAGTCTATGGGGGACGACAGGGGCAAGTCACTTAGAGACAATGGAGATAAGATTGAGTTCTCTATGAATGCCGCATTCTGAATGGGAGCTCCTCTTGAAAACTGGGACTATAACGGAGCGGCTCCAGTCTGCTGGGACAGTTTCCTCCTCCTGTTATGCACATCGTTCAAAAGAGCATGTCCCTCAAATTTGAAGACGGCTGGATGAAGTCCACTTGCTTCAGCGGCCTTGTCCATTTTTGTACGATTTCTGCATGTGAGGGTGGATTTAAAGGGACTGACCAGAGAGTAGGGCAACCATTGGCAGATGGAGAAAGTAGCAACTCCGACTGATTAAACTGCTTCTCATAGTGTTCGGCCCAACGCTCCAAGCGTTTTTACATAAACTTTTTGCGTGTTTTGGATTGGTTGTGCATTCTAGTCGCATATGAACTCATTAACACAAAGTCTAATATCGCTAACTTCTTGTATCAGACGTAATAACTTCCGATGGTTGCTAAGAGCGGCTGCTGTCAGCATCGCCGAGATATGATCAGACTACCATGCTTCACGGTCTCTCTCCAGGCTAGTTCGTGATTTCGTTTTGAGATCTTCGCAAGTCTCATTGTATTCGCTTCCAGTCTGCATACGTCGGCTAACCTTAGGAATTTCCGGAGACCGCCAAGAGACCCAGTGTCCAGGTTGGCAATTTAATTTGCCACATGAAAACAATCCTGCTGTCAATAACGTCTAGAGCGTATACGACCAGTGATCTTCAATTGTATTTAGTGAGTGCTTTCTCAGCTCGAATGCCAACATACTTTGGTACGCATTCAGAACATCTGACTTCGCCAGTTGGAAAGCATCTATGCGCTCACATCGCTGTTGTGGACGTCCGCCGAAACGCAACAGCACGTAGGCGCAAAAAGTGTGTGGCCAGAATCCCCGCTCTTGCTCTAAATCGAGCGACAGTTTTGCACACAGCCTCTCCAGCGGTAACCGGTTGCGATGTGATCAAGTTGCGTCCATGGCTGGTCTGAAGCTGATGAGCGCCGCGTCACCCTCCGGCTGGTGATGTGTAGGAAGTTAGTGCTCGCGAGAAAGAGACGAGCTCACCGTTATCATTACGGGAGCCTACACGGTGTTGGCCGCCCAAATGAAGCTCAGTAGTGGAGAGTTTTCCAACTTGGGCGTTCAAAGCACCAGCAAGAACTACAGTGTCCGTACTTTTTCTGTAACGGAAAAGCGTGTTCAATTGGTGGTAAAAGTCGTCTCTCATCGAATCAGTGCTGTAATTTGTGGGCGCGTAGGCCACAATGACAAACGAACATCATTTGTCCTCACTCGACTTCGACGCTCTGAATGAACCAGCCAATGTGACAGCACATATGCCGCTGTTCACTGAGATCCAATCGATCAGGGCAGATGCAGACCGGGGGCTAAGTAATACACACAATGGCTAGACCGACATTTGAATTCGCGTTATCTCCGGACAACCGCAATGAGAAAATATCGCCAATATCGCAAGTTGGGGGATCGCAGGGGAATAACAGAACCCGAGTTCTGCAGGCGAGTTTCTGATAAGCAACAGACTGATAGAGGCTCCAGTGTCAGGGCAACCGTTGCCTGTTGTCCAATCTGCAACAAAGTACGCACCTTGAAGTATGCCAGCCTTGGGGAGGACCGATAGCTCCAGTAGAAGCAGATGAACTGGCCATTTCCCGCTTGGTTAGACATGAATGTCGAATAGGCCAGATCGACGCCATGCGATTGCATGTGAGTCGAAAGTAGGAGATAAAAGGTTACTGAACCAAGATGGAGAATGGTCAAGAATTGAAGAGTTGAACATAAGAAGACATAAAGTGAAGTTGGAACGGGACGAAAAGGATGAAAAAGCTCAAAAAGGGGGATAAGAAGACGGGGAGGTTTGAACAGTAGCATACAAACCCCTATCGTCCCTGCCCGATACAGCAGATGGGGCGCCGTTGATTACTATTCGCCGCCACCAGAGCACCAAGGAACTGTGTGAAGGGAAAGTCATTGCGTTGTATTGCGTGGGCAGGATACTTTCAGACTGCCCAGGCCTAGACAGGAGAACAATTAAGATGCTCAACCAAAGCCTTTGGTTTAAAAATCTGACTGCAAGACGGTGGGGTTTTGGCATTGGACTACATTGAGTCCGTTTTATGAAGTAAGGAGCCATCCTCACATGAAGCCCCAACCCGGTGGGCCAGGAGGCTGAATTTGTCAGGCCTCCAACCATTGTGCAATCTGGTATGAGTGAGTTTGAAGGTGCGAGAAGCACCACCTGAGGTCTCAGCAGATCGCTGAGGCACGGAAATAATCGCACCAAGTTAAGGTCCAGTCTCATCGCGATGGCATACCAACCGGTTGTATTTAAACCCTTCTGAAATTAAGAATTCCTTTGAGTTAGTAAGTTGAAACTCATTAAGTGATTCGCTGCATTGCATGTGATGGACCAAGTCATACCTAGCTCATACAGTTTATTTTTATCTTACCATGTCTCCTGTCATGTATGACAGCTAAGTATGTCGTAAAGTTCACCATCAAAACACTCACCGGGTGTAAGCATTGTGTTCACTAGTTTTCATTAAGCATGCAGGCGTACGCCCATGATGATATGTGCCCACGACAAACCGCACCTAAATGTTGTCCAGCCTTTGCGAGCTTAAAGGTGGCGTTGGAGCCAAGCATGAATCACCAGACCTAGCCAAAGATGAGTAAAATATCGATCCAATGTACGGCCACGAAGGGTTTGTTCGCATCAAGTGAAGTAAGAAAAAACAGCAAGACCAGCTACTGATGGGATGGAAAAACTCCAGATGACAGAAACATTATGCTGGGGTAGAGCAAATAAAAACGGCTAGAGCGGTGTGGATATCGGGATAGCTTAACTTATTGATACCTATAACAGAGATCAGAGCAGAGTCAAGGGCTGCTAAGGAGCCCGATTGTGGTGATCGCTATGAGGTAGTATCGTAAAACCTAGTTCTTGGCCAACGGTATCATTACCGGTAACATCTCGAGGATATGGATAAGTGGATTTGCCAGCCACTGTGGTTTCTAACAGCCACAGGAGCGACCATGGTTGGCTTGCGTTGCACTGCCCGCGCCACCAACCACGTACCCCAAAAACCCGAAGGAATAAGACCAAAAGGAATGTGGAAGGAAGCCACGATTGATTCGGAGCTAGCTCACAAGTCTTCCCCATGCGCTGCAATCATACGAAACAGGGAGAAAACATGCGTGCACTGGGGGAAACAATTCTTTGAGCTTAGCACTGTAACGAAGACTATGCACCTCATCTTCGCCAATAACGAGCAGTTGTTCTGTACGTGATGGCATCCGACAGGTGAGCACCCTGTCAACACTCACATAACCGCAATTAGTCAATCGGCAAACACCGGTATCTGTGTAGTGAGATACCACAAAATAGAACATAAGACAGAAACTATGTCGAATGTGCGGTGTGCAAGCTGTTGTGAATCGAATGAATCAGTTATATTTTTCACCAAACATGGGCAGCCTCATTGTGAGTAACGACTGAGAGAAGAAGCAAAGAGAATACACAACACCTTGTGAACTGGTGGAGGGAAATGGCAGATGCACAGAAAGCGAAACGAACTCACTCTAGCATCCATTTGTTCGTGTTGATATTGAATCCCGCTACCACGTGATCTGTGTTCGTGGCGAGGAGTAGATTCCCCAGTGAAATACTCGCACACGCCGTGTGCTCTGCTTCACGAATATTCATCTTGGCTGGATCATACACAGTCCATTGTTCTAATTCGCGCCGAACCTCTGCCCAAGGAACAGCCGAGTCACGCCGAGCGAGTGCGGATTTGCTCCGCATGACAAGCGGATCCCAGTCGGGATCTGAAGGACGGAGAATACTCGAATCTGCTGTGTTGTCCAGCTTTCGAACGTGCACATATCCAGTGCAGCCAAGACCGAGTAGAACGCAGGCGCCCTCCTGAAAGAGCCATATGATGGAAGATAAGAAGATTGTGTGATGTAGAGAAAGCAAAATCAAATGTGTAAAGTGAGTAAGTAATTATGGTGGAGCGGCGCCTCGTGGTCCGCTACAACGTTACTATTCGAAACGAACGGAAAGCCTATGTACTGCCCTAAAACCCATGGTTACATAGTACAAGGTCAAACACTGCTGCATACAGGGCGCGATCAATGCAAACCAGTGAGCAACACTTTGCGTAGTGGAAAGTTGGAGACAACCGAGGGAAGATCGCTGGTTCATGATCTTCGTTAAGCTTCATACAACTAAGATGTTATTCGCGTAACTTGTCCAGGTAAGACGCGGTAGCTCACAGAACCCTGCTCACGTGCACCTGAGAACTACAGAAGTGAGGAGCTTCGACTTGAAAAGTTTCCAGCTAAGATCAGATGGCTATGGCAGAGTCTACAAAGAAGCGCAGGTAAGATATGATGTTGGGTTTGCTTCAGAGATATGCAACATCGAGGTCAACCGGCTCATTTAAGTAAGCAAGATCGGAGCAAAGAAGCCCAGTGAATCCTGTTGCTATGATCCCATATATCAGGGAATCACAAAACGAGCAAACTGAAACATAAGCGAAATAAAGTGAAAAGAGCAAAAGAATAGTTAAAAAGAGACAGAATAAACACAAGATAAGATATTCATATGAAATCAATAACGAGAGACAGGCCACCACTGAGTCCAGTTCGAATTTTGGCTACTGATGCCGTGGACTACTGCCGAAGTTATGCATAAACGCGCAGGGAATCCATCTAATCGTCACAGAAGCCAACACGAATGTCTCATGCGATGTTGACGTTGCATAAACTATGCAAAACAACGCATAGATGATTCCTCTGTAGGCACAGGCGTCAAGTGGACTTCAAATGACCGTTGTATTTGCCCTTCGAAGTACTGTATGTTAGGCTAAGTAGTGTGGATATATCCATTTTATAATGCCGTTCTAGGAATGTGATTTATCTGAAACATTCCAAGGTCATCAAGGATATCCAATTCTGCTAGATTTATGAAACCGTTCCGAAAAGCTGCACTAAGCACAGTATGTGCCGAATGCGATAACAGGGCCCGAAACAATTCGCCTCCATAACCCGGAATTGTGTGCACACGCTCTGTCTGACCTGGCCCCAGCCTAACAAAAGTAAGCAGACCGATCACGCCATTCCGCCCGACTCCACACAGGTCGGGCTAATCACATAGCCTTATTGATGAGATATTTTGATATATTGACGCCTGCAATCCACGTGTTCAATCTGGACCCACATAGTTAGGTTATACTAGTCTGATGATGATCCACTGATAACAAGCTTGACCGTTACGTTCTACTTCCAGTGTTTTCTCGGGGTATTAGTTCACAAGTGAAACAGTCCAAAGACCCAACTTTGTCTAAAGAACTTAACCAGTATGTTAAATTCAGCACAAAGCTTACGGTGGCGAAAGCGTGCGTGCAGTTTCTCGATGAGTGCATTTGATGTTACGAGTATCCTAAGCATTTTTGGAAACTGCATAGGCGCAATGGGATTAATCTGACTAATACTGCGTTGAAACGTAACACACTGAATGAACGAGACACGATTGTTTCTCGGATTGACGGGCTCGAGCTTAACCGATGCGTTTCTTCTGTCGCACCTGAGAATGCATGTGTTGAGGAGTGCGATGTATTTGAAACTTAGGTTCAGCAAATCGCAGCATGGCAGGCCTCAATGAAGAAGCAGCTCAATGCGAACAAGCCACCGAACTTGTTTCCATTTGACCCTGAAAGATACGTTCACAATTTCTCCTCACTGCAATTAGACAAGGTTCTACTTGAGGCTCGTTCGCTTGGTCCGAAATTCCGTTGCCTACGGAATCAGTTAGATACAGAGGTACAATTTGAAAATTTCTATTCCCAAGTAGCTAAACTTACGCCGTCGTCAGATTCGGTAGCTGAACAGTATAAGTTGACACATATCAACACCTATTAGGAATATTTAAGTTATAAAAACTATGCCAAGCATATTTTGAAGAAAGAAAATCTAGACACCCTCAAAGAACTAAAACGAAACGATAACGTACTGTTGTCTAGACCGGATAAAGGAGCCGGGGTCGTTCTGATGAATAAGTCAGACTATGTCTGAAAGATGCACGCCATCCTTACCGATGGCTAACGAGAATGACAAGACGCAGGCAATTGAGAAGTCCATAAGGAAACTATTGCGTTGGTTAAAACAAGAAAACATCATAGAGTTTGACGTATTCGAAAACACCAGGCCGAGTGGAACGGTGATTCCAAAACTTTACAACCTGCCCAGGGTGAAAAAGGAAGGGCTATCACTAAGACCACAACTAGATTTGTGCAACTCTCGGTACGATTCGACCGGCAAGTGCCTGGTCAAACGGCTGGAACCAATCAGAAAAGCCATAGCCAGGTATAGCCTCAAGGACATTTTGAGTTTCTCGACTCAGTGAGACACCTTGAACTAACCGGGCGGAATATGTTTTCACTAAATGTGGTATCCCTTTTCACCAACGTTCAACTGTAAGAGACTGTAGACTATCTAGGTCAGTTCATCCAGCTGCACAATATCAACGTTGGTATCCCACCAGATCGATTAAGACAGCCATTGCCGACATTATACCTATATATATATATATATATATATATATATATATATATATATATATATATATATATATATATATATATATATAGCCTTTGCATAATTTCGTAAAATGCGCTTAGTTGTAGCGTGGTCTGTTTCTAGACTACCTCAAATGCGACTTCCACGACGGTTCTCATTATCGGTAACTGTTCACAGGGACAGAGGAAGATATTTTTGCTTCTTAGTGCATTGATTGCCGTGGACATGAATAACTCTTCCCCATCTACCCTTTCGGAGTGGAAGGTCTACTCTGACTAACTGAGGGCAACAGAGAACGCGTCGCTGAGTACAATAAAGCAGTAACTTGCAGGTTTTGTTCTATGTTTCACATTGTCTGACCCTGCATGCTAACCAGCGCGAAGCAGTGAAGGTGAAGTGTACACACGGCCAACTAATGTGGTATGTTAGAGCAGTGTGGTTCTGAACTTACGGCATCAGTGAATTCCGATACCTCGAATCATCAACTGGACATAGCTAAAGTCTCGGGCAATGTGGTTGCTGTCCATACAAGCTGAGCAAGACAATCGACTGATTACGACACCACCATATTGTGTGGACATTTTAGGGGTCAGTTTGACTTACAGAATGATCTGACGGAGAGCAAGAATACCGCGACTGATTGAGGAATGAGACTGTACGTATGAAATATAAAGAAAGCACTATCGTAAACTAGATTGAGAACTTAGGGTGATTTCCGACGATTAAACGTGACGGAATGGAGACAAACAAATAGTTCCTCTCTATTCCTTGACAGTGCGAGGGGGCAGATACGGGTCAACATATACTCAATCGTTGTTTCGTGAGTGGGTAAACACTCCACACGTAGGACAATGTACAAGTGAAGCGAGAACCGCATCAGTCACCAAAAGGATCAATTGCTTGCGGTGTGTTCACATCGTTCGTGACGGGATTAGAGCGAAAATACGGCAACGAATAGAACTGACATTCATGCAGTTGGTCTTATGTGTTATCTAATGGTCCAACTACAGTAAAGCCTTCTTAGATTGATCACTCAAGGGATTGGACCAAAATGGTAAAAATGCAGTGGTCCGGTTCTATAAGGTGTACATGGTAGAGATTCAAGAAATGAAAAGTAAAACCATCGATTTGTGAGGTTTTGCTGCATATTGGCATTATAGAGGTGCCTCTCTTCCATCTTTGGACTCAATTGTTCCATCCACATGGCAGTGGGGAAAAGGACCGATTGGTCCCGTGTGGTCTAACATACAGTTGACGTTCATTCTTCGACCATGGCCAGCCAGAGATGGGACTTGATCAGTGTGTGTGCTAGGTAACCAACGATGCAGAGCTGCGTTCACCCACCACGAGGAAATCCTTAACAATAATACTTTACACCGATCGAGTGGATTTTATTATCCATGAATTGCTGTCACCCAGAGTCACCAACTCCGCTCCAAACGTGTATGAGAGGGGTGTTGACACATTAGCCAAAGAATAACAATTAAGCGGTGTCTTTGAAGGTAGCTGCAGTGCCACTAGGTGTGGTTCAACAGAACACGGTTGTAAATGAACCTTCAGACTATTAAACACCCAGTCTTAATTTACAGTACACAAGAGGAGAGTAAACATAAAGTGAAAGACTAATGCGTGAAACATTCACAGAAAAATTGAATAGTAAGACTTTAACTAGAAGTCTGAATCATCCACATACATGATGCATTCAGTATACCTTTTCTCAGCCAAATGAATCCATAGCGATTTCAAATTCCTACTTAAGGTAATCAAGTTCCTCTATACATGATCAGAGCCCCGTAATGATAACGGTGAGCGATTGCTACAGCTGTGTGAAGATGTTCGTCTCTTTCTCGCGAGCACAAACTTTGGACACGCCACCCACAGAAGCGTGACTTGGCGCGCACCAGCCTCACACCAGCCATAGACGCAAATTGATCATATCACGATCAGTTGCCGCTAGATAGGCTACGTCCAAAACTGTCGCTCGAGTTGGAGCACCAGCTTGGACTCTAACCATGCACTTGTTTGCGCCGACCTCCGGGTGCGTTTCGGTGGATGTCCGCGACGTCGACGTGGACGGATTGACACCAGCCAGCTGGCAAAGCCAGGTGTTCTGAAAGTGCATCAAAGTGCGCTGATATCCGGGCTGAGTAAGCGCCCACTTGTCAACGTCGATGATCACTGGTCGCATATTCATCAAACGTCACTATCAGCAGGAATGTCTTCCCGTAGCAAATCAAATTGCAAACCTAGGCACTGGGTCTCTAAAAGTCTCTGGAACTTATGCATGCTCGCCGACATGTTCCGACTGGAAGCGAATACAATGAGGCTCGCAAAAATCTCAGGGAAAAACTACGTGCTAGCTTGAAGAAAGGCCGCGAAGTCTGGTGGTCTCATCGTGCCTCGGAGATGGAAACAGCCGCTACCGTTGGTAATCATCGTAAGTTATTCCGTCTGATAAGGGAAACAGGCAACAGGAAACCTGGTGTAAGCGAGACCATATGCGACGAGAGTGGGAAGCCGATGCACAGCCTGCCAAAACGCTTGGAGCGCTGGGTCCAACGCTCTGCAAGGTAATGTAACCAACCTAAGTTATCGCGTGCTTTCTCAGGCATGGAGCGCCCTTCTCCCTGGGCCGTCTCCTTTAATCCGCCCTTATGCGCAGAAGTCGAATGTGAGATCAAGCTGCTGAAATTGCATAAGGTCGCAGTGACAGAGAGAATTCCACCAGCCATCTTCAAATTCGGGTGACCTGCTCCAATAGATGATTTACACGAGTTGCTAGTGAAACATTGGGAGCAGGAGACTGTCCCGACAGACTGGAGTCACTCCGTCATCGCCCCAATTCTCAAGTGAGGCTCTCGTTTGGAATGCGGCAATCATAGAGGTATCAGTCTGATTTCGATTGCCTCTAAATTGCTTGCCTCTCTCATTCTCCACAGACTGACTGGCACCCGTGAAAGCCAGATTCGTGAAGAGCAAGCCGGGTTTCGTCGAGGTCGGGGCTGCATTGACCACATTTTCACCTTGCGTCAAATGTTGGAGCACCGACATGTTAACTGGCCACCAACCGTTGTCGTGTTTCTTGACATAAAAAGCGCCTTCGACTCAGTCGATCGACTTGCTCTCTGGGAGGGTGTGCTGAGGAAAGGTGTGCCTAATAAATAGGTAAACATTATCCAAGCAATGTACGCGCATACTTCGGGCAGCGTGAGGGTTTATGGCAAACTCTCGCCACCCTTCAGTATCATCAGCGGCGTGAGACAAGGATGCCCGCTGTCACCTTTCCTCTTCAAGTTCGCTATTGATGAGGTCATAGAAACAGCATTCGCTGGACACGACCTAGATGGTGTGGAGCTACTTCCTGGTGAGCGACTTCTCTACTTGGAGTATGCAAACGACATTGCCCTTATCTGTGACAGCTCCCAAACATGTCAAGCATCACTGGACCGACTACCACTGGCTGTCAATCGTTTTGGGCTATGGTTTGCTCCATCGAAATGCAAAGTACTTCTCCAAGATTGGCAGGAACCCAACCCTACGCTAACGCTTTGTGGTGATCAGCTAGAAGTCGTTCAGGAATTCAAGTACCTAAGCAGCTATATTAGCGCCCGTGGGATCGAAGATGCGGTTACGAAGCGCATAGCGAAAGCTCGAGGTGCTTTGCCAATCACTGCCACCTGCGGCGCAGACGCGACATTACTCTCGCCCTGAAGGGCAGAGTTTATAACGCAGCCGTTCGTTCAACCCTCCTATATGGCGGTGAAACCTTGCCCATCAGGTCGACAGAAATAAAGAGGCCCGTCACATTCAATCATCGCTGCCTTCGCATCTAAGCTCATGTTTGGTGGGAGCACCGCGTGAGCAGTAAGCATGTTCGGTGTCAGGTATTTGGTGACGGAAGAGCGAGTGAACCACTCAGCACCATCATATTAGGCACCAGTCACCGATGGCTGGGTCACGTTGTGCGCATGCCAGCACACTGAATTTAGCGAGGTGCATTGTTTGCGCGTTGGGAGTGCGGTTGCAAGAGGAGGGGAGGCAAAGCGATGACTTGGTCAAGAGGAATAAAAACACGCATTTCGAAAATGGCGTCGGTTGGTGCATCCCGAATGCCTGGCTGGGGTCCTAAGGACGATGAAAACGTTTGGTTGGACACACTTGCTGATCTGGCGAAGAGTCGGCCCCAATTGGCACTCCTCATCTTTGGGTCCCCATCCTGGAAGACGTACGGGTCCAACAGCGGCTAGACGCGGCGACAGCGAATTCATGTGCTGCCGCCAAGTGGAAGGCTGACCACCACGCGGTCGCTTCCAGTCAGGTCCTTGACGAGCGAATAGAGCGCGACGCGGTAGACGCTCAGGTGCCATGCGTAGGACATGACCGAGCCATCTTAACTGGCGCAACAAAACCAGTTAGTTGAAGGAAATACTTGCATTCCCCAAGATGCCTATACGGAGTGCCAAAGTGCACAAAGCTAACGTCCCGCTACGGCCGATAATCGATATATCAGGGTCTGCTATACACTCAGTTGCCAAATGGTTAGTGGAATTACTTGAACCACTGCACAAGGAAGTATCAAGCTACACGGTAAACGACATGTTCGAATTCATTAAACGAGTAGAAGAATTAAACCTGAAGAACGTAGAATCCCTCTTCACAAACGCGCAATTAGTAGAAACTGTTGATATATGTAGGCAGCAAACGAAGAACAACCCTATTGGTATCCCAGTTCAATGCGCCAAAGAGCTAATCTTACACTGTACGTTCAACTGACAGGTGCTCTTTGACGGAAAATACTATCGACAAACAGATAGCGTTGCGATGGGGTCACCTTTAGGACCGCTACTTGCGGACATTTTGCTTGCAAATAATGAACATGGACCTTTGGAACCCCGAATAACATCACTTGTCTGCTACCATCGCTACATGGACGACACATACATTGTTTGTGATTCTTATACTAATCATGAACGCCTATCGCAGCAGTACGACAAAGCCCATCCATCGTTAAAATCTACTTGAGAAACGGTGAATAACGACAAACCGCCCTTTCTGGACATCTTGCTACGACGAAGAGATGATGGGTCCATTGAACGAAGGGTTTACCGGAAAGTAACTTGGGAAGGACAGTACACGCTCTTTCTTAGCTTTTGTACCAATGAAGTACAAAGGAAACCTAGTACGCTGTTAGTACTATCGTGCCACAAAAATCTGCAGCGCAGAGACGATGAAAGTCAAAAGGGATTTAATCGTCAAAACTCTAGAAAGCAATGGGTGCCCCGCGGCATTTATCAAGAAGCATTCTGCGATTCACGCCCAGCCTGCGGTAACAGCGACCGTAAGAAAAATAAGGACGTCTTCCTTCCAGTCCAATTCAAAGGGGATATCCCCTTTGATGCACTGAACAAGAAATCGCCGACCGCAGTGGATCAAACATATCCAGCCGCGAAACCCCACATCATTAGTCAGACTACACCGCTGACTACACAATGCCTAAAAGACAAAATTCCGGTCCAGTCCGAATCGTTCGTTCTAGATCAATTCACCTGCACCTGTGGTGCGCGGTACATCGGACATACAACCAACCGTCTTTCGAAGGGGGATAGCAGAACACTGCCCAACATCATTGCCGCACGGCACGGTCAAGAAGGTCCACAGCACAATTTTGGAACGTCTGATCACAAGTGAACATCATTTCCAAACTAAGGACTGCTTTGAAGCACGCCACATTGCGCCGGAAAGATTGTCAAAGGACTCAGAAAGCGTATGTGGACAAGTGCGGAAGCGACCGCGATCAACAGGTTGCAACCGAAATTATTCAAAAAGAAAATGCTTGTGCAAAGTTTGATTCTTTCAAGGCCATAGATCTGGCATCTGACTGCTGGCTCATCGATCTACGGCTGTGTTCAAGATTGGGCGCTGACTGCGGCACATCAGAACTCGACAAGGCATAACTATGCTACGCTATCGAGAGCAAATTGTCCCACCGATTGTGTAATACATAATTGTAACTGCCGAAAAAAATTGCTTCGCAACTATCTTTTGGTAGAACATCAGGAACTTGCTGAAGTAAGTCTCAAAAGTTTGGGGCCAAAAAGTTTTTATTTTTCCTTGATAAAAAAGGAAAAAATATATCCGTAGTACGCCAGTATGCAGTACCGACGCGTCGTTGCCGCTAACCTACCACCGGTCCCACGTAGGCTAAGGATACTGCGAGGATCGCCCTGTTCCTACCTAGGTTCGAAACAGCGCCCTCGGATTACAACGCAGGCTCCGGTTTGATAGGTTTCGCTTCGACCATATGGTGAAGAAACATTAAATGCAGCGAAGTTTGTCGGTGCACCACCGCTCGCAATCGTCAATAAAGACATGACGCCAATGGGCCAAATGTTCCTGTTTACGAACACGTGGAAAGGATTCAATTGTCGTCTAAGATGGCTTCTTGAGATGTGCTAAGCAAAACGGTTTTTGTATTGTGGCCACTATACTCAGTACTTGGCTCGTTCGCTTGGAAGGCTAGAGACAAGCAAGACGCATCGCGACTAGAGGACGAAGCGCACGAATATCCGGAGATGCAAAAGAATTTCAAAAAATACGATCGAATAAAAGTGAGTAACTTGTCATGATGAGATCAAAAATGGCATGATCCAAGTCATTATGCAATAAACACGGCGCTGAGGGCATCAGAACTCTAGGAACAAGGATAGACGCAGGCAGACTAGCAGAAGCACGTAACCTTCGAATATTACTTCACATGACCCGTGAAGTCTGAGTTCCAAAGGAAGTTAGTTTGAGTGAAACTTTGAAAAAGCACGGCGGAGTGAAAGAGGGGACCGGCTGTTCAAGATTAAAAGTGAGGACATGGCAAACTAACCTCAGTGTACCATAATGGTGTTAAGGCGGCTGTGTGAGATCAGGCGTAGTTGAAACCCCTAGGTGCCCGTATTACAACTGGTGTTTTGCGTTCAGTAATGTTGAGGTGACATCAAGACCGAGAAAAAAGCGATAACAGAGAGCAGTGAAGAAAAAGGGGTTTCACTAGTCTCGTTTTGGAAGATACTTCGCGGAACCCAGTAACAAGTGGTTGGTGGTCATTGAAGAAAGTGTGTATGACGGACAAGAATACGAAACTTACTCCGATTAGCCAAACGGAAATGTAGCGGAGCATCGTCAATTGGGAGAATACAGTCATGTACAAGAAGCGCGAAAAGAAGCTCCATTGCTATAAAGGAAAAAGAAATGATCGTGATGACATTGAATGTTGTGTATGAATATCCAAGTTACAGATTAATAGAAGGAAATTTCAGAAATACAAATGCTTCAGCGAATCATGGACAATGCTGGACTTCAGCAAAGCAAATATTCCAATTTAGCAACCAAAATAAAGACAAGAAATTAGTTCAGAGTAAAGAATTCTGTTTCGGTAAACTCTTGTCAGACACAAACGTTTACATAGCACTGATTATGTGTGGAAAGCGTCAAAATGGGCTGGGGATTGACTTCTAAGCTGTTAGAACGGTCGTAATGGAGAACGTAAGACAGGATTATAGATGGTAAGACAACATTAATACACAGACATCAGTAGGCCAAAGTAAATATTTAAGGTAACAACCAGATAGCTAAGCATCGTTTTTGTACACATAATTCCGGCTTTAAATGGTGGATGTAAATAGCCATGACAATGAATGATAGTTGCTTCCGGAATCTTTGCGAGAAGCGTGCAGGCAGTGATTAAATGCGTTTAAAATCATTCTCTCTGCATCAAATGTGTGATCACATGGGGGGTAGCCAGAAAAAGCACAACGTAGATACTATAACCGCATAACGAAGCATATTCAGCAACAGGATATTCGACAATGTCAAAAAGACAAGAGATGAGATAGTGAAGAAAGGAATGCAGGCGAATAGTGCACGCAGATAAGCTAGAGTAATTAAGGGAAAGTGATGATATATATATACAGATCTATAACTACACAGTGCAATTCCTTGTTTTTCCCGCCGCTGCCATGTAGAAAGGGCAAAAGCTCGAGGTTGTGCCCCTAAGTCAACTCCATGCCCCGGTTTGGGAAACCAGGTATCACCCCGCCGGCAGATTGAATCATGGATTCGGTAGTCAATAAGAGGTCGCTCTCTTCTGTTCCTGAGGTTTTCACTGCTTAAGCACCTCCATCACATGCCTATCTCACTTTAATCAATAATTCCTTTGAATCTACATCTAAAGACAGTCGCGCCACGTCCATTGAGTCAGACAAATGGCCCTCCTTCGACCTCCATTTAGGCTGGCAGCCTTCGTCAGATCGGAAAACAACCCGGCCTAGCATGCACCCTGAAGTTCCTCGCAATTGATGCCTGTTGACTTTCTGAGACTCGACTACGGCACCATGATTAAGTTGACTCCCCCGTTGATCTCGGACACAAATATTTCCAGCATCTGTCTGGTAACATAGAAGCAGCGGCAGCTAGTTTGGCATCGCAGAGTGAGAAGGCAACGGCCTCTATACGCAATTGGTTCCAGCTTGTGTCCGGTTAGAATTTAAGGCACATGCAGGAGCAACATACACTGTAGAAAGAAATACGCAATTTGTTTGTGATCACTGTTTACGCCCCAGCCAATAGCAATTGTGCATCGGTTAGGGAGAATTTTTAACGCGAACTTCACTAGCTTTTGACTAAAGCTGAAATACCCAATGTCATCGTCCTTTCCGGGGATTTCAATGCACAGGTCAGCCGTGTTACTATGCGTGGTAGCTGTCATGCGGCTGACGATAATTACTCAGTCAAAGGAGACAGACTTCCCAAGTTAAGTGAAGACAAGCAGCTCCTTTTTCCCAGCAGGAACTTCAGACATTTAACGAGACGCAACGCCACAGGGCGTTATCCTTCGCCAACGCGAGCGTGGTCACAAGTTGATCATATCTCAATCACCTTCAGATGACGAGGCAGTGTACGGGATAGCATACGGACTTCCTCCACCTACCAAGACACTGATCACGCTTTGGCCTGCGCAGACATGTGTATGCGTTTTGGAGATTCCTCGAAACCAGTTAACTCCTCCATTCAACGGGCTTATCAATCCTTCTAATCAGATGCATTCGCTAGTACTGCACGTCAAGACGCCGAACATCCCTGATGTTTCTTGCAGTAGACGTTGTTATCTTCCCGTCAAGAATACAGTGGAATCGCTGGACGTCCCCTAAGGGGCTGGATCTCTTCTCGCTCATGGGAATTGTTTGACCGTCACCGACCTATACTACCTGTCAAGCACTGGTGAAGTTCACCGTAACTTCAGCAACAACTCATGAAAAGTCTGTATATAGAACGCGAAACTTGTTGGCTTCAGAGTGATTTAAAGACGGAGATAGCACCTAACCCGGAAAACTTCCGCAGACTTTTCCAGATCATTTGGAACAGTGACCACGAAAGAAAGCGAAAGTGAAGCTGTTTGCAAAGATGATGGATCACATAGCAACAAGTTGCGCAGGCGCATTGAGCGCTGGGCTGAGCACTTCATAGCTTAATTCAGTTTACCTCCTCCGTCCAATGTTTAAAAAATGTGTTAAAGTGCGCGCATGGGGACATCTCACTGGAACCACTCCCCGAAGCGGAGGTTAACCTTGAGTTTTGGCCATTTAAACGATTCAATGCTGTTGACTAAGACGAAGTTCCTCCAGAGCTGGTCAAGTAGGGCGGCGAGACAATCCCCAACTAGCAAGATTTGGTGACAAAAAAAGCTTCCATCCTCTTGGGGCGAGTCAATTATCGTACCAATCTTCAGAAAGGGTACATGTACCTTTATGCACCAAACACAGAGGAATCACCCCAAAATACTAGCAGGCGGCCAAATGTAGTGTACCCCCTCGCACGGCGTTCCGATACTAGGCTGTGTCAACAGCGTGAACGGGCTTCTCGCGCGATACACGAAGAGACGGCTAAATAAGGAACACAGCTGCGATGTGAGTGGCTGGCAAACTCGCATGGGCGTCGACTGAGTGAACGAGGGCAGTGCCTTGGCGCGAACAAACGGCCGAATATGGCGAATCAGTTAAGCGGAACGCGTTCCCATGGACGGTGACCTGGACGTCGAAGATGCGGGGATCGTGGTTTTTATTGTTAGAATGTAGAGTCGAACAGTGGAACAGTCTCTTCCCGTTGAATACACACCGGTTACCGAGGCATGACATTTGGCTTTTGCGGTTAAATTGATCGCTAAGCAATACAGACCGTGGACAGCAGTACAACACAATAACATTCAGTACAACACATTCATACTATTCTGCAGACTAACACCGATAACAGAACTACACCACCGGGAAGAACAAGATGGTTTCCGCCCCGGTCGAGAGCATGCAGACCACATATTTACGCTTCGTCAGATCATCGAGCAGCATCAATATTCTCACAAGCCTACAAAAGTCGTCTCTTTGGACATACAAGCTGCGTTCGGCTCGGCCTATCGGCGTTTTTTATGGAGCTGTCTGCTAAAGAACGAGATACTCGGAAAATATATTACCATCCCTCGAGAATTATGCAGCCATCTCTGCGACATTTAACTCTCGATAAAGAGTACGATTTACAATGCCAGTGTTCGTGCGGCACTGTTGTATGGAAATGAGTTTTGATCGATCTGTGTAAATGACACTCCCGATTTCGGCCACAGACGACTGTATCTGCGTAGGATAGCTAGTGTGTAATAGGAACATGATGTTTGCAACGATGATGTTGGACGTCGCGTTCTCGGTAATATGGGCCTCCATCTCGACAAGGTAATGCCGCTGAGCCCAATGAGCTGGTTGGGTCACGTCCTACGCATGCCGTACGGCCGTTTAATATGGCGCGCTCTAATCACTCGCGCATGGCCGTACCAGAAAGCGCGCGGCGGCCAAAATACTATATGGCGACAAAACGTCAAGGCGCTGACTGACTAACGTTGTCTACCCCGTAAGCATCCGTGATGGAGAGCCAAAGATGAAATCCAAGGAGACATAGCGCGGAATCGAGTAAAATGGAAGGTTTGCATGAATTTATGCATTGATTCAACTACGCAACAAAAAAAACCTTTAGTCCATTTCTTAAATTGCGATTTGGTACATAGAAGACATTCATCCATGGTTTTCGATGACCCCATATCTAGTACGCAGACAGTTCCTAATACAACATGACTAGGGGCATCCGATTGCGAAGTTATCTGTCACTGTGACCTCCACAGGACAGCCACTGAACGCCTGCGCCTACTCAGGGACCATGGGTGACTTGCACTGCACCAACCACAGTTCCATCCTCATATCACACATCTAGTGTAAACCAGAAGAAGTAAAATCGGGAGTTAGGTAGATGGTGGCAACGGTGCATCAACGGAGCCGATGCACACTCCTTAAATATGCACGACAGAAACATTATTGTCAAGCGAATTTGGGATCATGCGTGCCAGACGTACACAAGGCGATGGCTGGGCTGTAGTCTGCTCCACAATGGATAAAATCACACCTTGATTTCAGTACCGTCTCCCGTCTTCCCCAGCAACGAGCAAGTACCTCCTGAAGCCAGTCTAATTGAGGTGGTGGTTTCCGACAGGTAGGCACCTTGCCAACGCTTACACCAAGTGCAGCCACACCGTAGATACCAAACAACAAAAAAATCTGGAATTCAAAAATATTCAACACGTACGTACACGCACAGACCAACTACCGAAGTGATGTAGTACACGTGCCACGTCGACTGCACTAGTGGCCTTAGTTAGTAAATGGAATCCCAAGCAGCATATTTAACAAGAGCTGCGCTGATGGTGATTAGCTATTTCCGTGATTCGTCGCCTCTTGGGTGTTGACCCCATGTGGTCACGCTGCTCGATTCCTGACCGGCCTGACTGAGGCATTTGCGACCGCATGTGCTATAGCAGTATGCGATTGATGCCGATGGACCAGACTTCATCGGCGCTTATCGCCTCTGTACCCGGTATTTCTCGTTCTTATGAAGCAAGATTTCATCGTGCACCTGCGCAAACACATTCTAGATGTGAACAAGCCATTGGCTCCGATTAGCTGTCTTTGATTAACAATACCTAAAGGTAACTGTTGTTCCTTGGTCATGCCCTGGTAACTTCGGTTTTCCCACGTCCCGCTTCCCATACAGCAGCTGCTTGGGTATTCTTGCCGAATACATACGGCTGATGTGCCTAAGCCACATTAGATACCACCGCAGAAGTATGCACGCAACTGCATATAT